ACAATTTAGTAATCTAATAATCATTATCTGGATTATATAAACTCTAAAACATGCCTTTAGCTTACAGAGCTACCCACTTAGAGAAGGAACTATTCCAACATTATATAAAAATATATAAATATTCTGCAGTTTAGAAAAAAAAAACTTTTTCATCTGTCAATATGCTCTTTTTTTCATGACTTATCCTACTCAAGAGGGTTTTGTTGTCTACAGAGATTGTTACCAACAACTAATCCAAACAAAAGATGTCTGAGGTTTTAGTGTAATCTTAGTGGTTCTACATACGCAGACATTCCTGCGTAACAATCTTGCTTCATCCTGAGCTTTTTTGTTTGGGATATGGGAGGAAAATTGCCTTGTACAAATAAAAGGAGAAATACTCAGCTACCCACTGCAGTAAAACTCATTTTATCCACAATTCTAAAAATTGCCCTGCCTTTCTTGGAAATGTCAGTTATGGTTTTACACTCTGAAAAGCCTTGTTTGAACACTGAAGTATCTTGTTATATGTGCCAACACAGCTTCCTTGCCTTTTAAAGCTACACCCAGGTATTGCAGCTTAGTTAACTTGTTTCTACTCACACTAGACCCAGTTTAGATCTACTTGAAAATATGAAGATGTTTAAATGATGCATTATTCATAGTTTAATAATTTAACAGTGTACAAAATGTGATCCATAAAGATCCCCTATGGATCATTGTTTGTTGTCCCTTTGTAACAGAATGCCTTGAAGTCTATCCAGTCACTCCGCTCTCACTACGTGACATGTTTCAGAGCTTTGAGCTGCATTTTAAACGGTTGGTCTGAAATTTTCACAGTCTTTAACAGCTGTAGTATATATATATATATATATATATATATATATATTCTTGGAATTTACCTCCCTGTTCTCTCTTCCAGGCTTATTTCTGTGACATTCACATTTGTTGTCAAGGCTATCAATTTGCAAACTGTGAGATATCGAGAGCTGCCTGACTGCTATGACTTCACTGTGGTTGTATGTCACCAAACTTGTTTTATTTAAAACCCAGTTAGCAGAATGAGTTGACATTGGAAAGACTCAAAGCTGACTTCAGAACACAGAGATTGAGTTTTAAAATATTTTTCACTTCTGTCCTGGGTTTATTTGATGATAATTTTTTTTTTAATGATCTGTCATCTCACTGAAAAAAAAAATGTGCTTTGGCCTCACAGATTACTTTCAACAATCAAGCTCACAGCGGCAGAATGAAAGTTGATCTGGAAACGGACGTGGACATTAATGAATGCAAAGACTGGAAAGTAACTGGAGCCTGTAAGGTCACCAAACCGGTTTGAGTACCCACTAATTTATGTGCATTTTCTTTACCATGAGTCTGAAAGATGACTTTTTCTTCTCTTTATGTCATTCCTGCAGCTGCAAAACAGATATACCTGACAGTGATGTTTGACTGCCTAATTGTAATAACCTGCATCACTTCCTTTGCACTCTGCACACGCTCTGTTATAAAAGGAATTCTGCTGATGCTTGTAAGTAAAACTAAAATCAACAAGGTCATATAGTGGTATAAATGAGCAGAAGCTATTTTAATACAAGTCATACACATTTATATGTGAGGGTTAGAAGTGCTGATCAGACTCTTACTTTGGACAGTAAAGTTTGGTAGATGTTTTGAGTTTTTTTACTGAAGTGTATTTAACAGGAGTTAACAGAAAAACAAACAAAAAAAGAAAAAAATGCAACAGGCTTCACCATAGGAATAATAGCTATAAAGCCAACACAATTAAGGAATCATTTAAAATAAGAAACATTTTTAAATATTAAATTATCTGTCCCTGACCTTCATATTATCTTTACTAAATGAAAAATATATATATATTGTTAAATGCTTGAATAATATGTGATAGAAGTAAGTTACTTTTATATTTCTTTAGTATTTTGCAGCTTTATAGAATTGTAGCCTCTTAAGCTTTTACTTGGTTACTTCCACATAAAGTTTTTTTCTAATTATGTAACCTATTTTGTAAAGTCTTGTAAAGTCGCAGCCTTCAACCTACATGATACTAGCAACCTATATTTCCAAATGGGAAAGGTTTTTTCACATCAAAGCTTCTTCACTTTCCTCCAAGTTCAGCAATGGGACAGGGTTAGGGCTGGTTAGGCTTAAGGCCAGAACGCATCGAATCAGACAAAAAATCCTGTCCGACGAGTTCATGGCGTTTAGCGCTCATTGAAACTCAATGGGGTTGATCACACCCAACACGATTTTCTGCAAGAGGGCTTGCGTAGGTCCGAACCAGATGGACGCCAGGTCTATTTTTGTCGCACTATGCAGCAATTCAGCGGCAATTTAATGGATCTGACAGGAAGAGAAGTGCGGTTACAAAATAAAACACATCCGTTTTGGGGTAAAATACAAAGTACTATCTGTTAAAGGGGAACACCGTTTTTTTTTTTTTTTTTTTTTTTTTTTTTTACATTGGCATCTTGATATTGTTATTACATCATGTTCTACTCACCAATATTAGTTTTGTGTCATTTGGAGCCGTTTTAAGATATTCGGTTTTGTAATATCCATGTGATGTCTTCCTATGGGCAACGAGTTGAAGGTAAAAACTAAACTGTTCATTTTCCCTGTAAAATGTTTTTTTTCCCCCGCTTGGAAAGGTGTTGACTAATGTCCTGACTGGCTGGAGTTTGTGCAATCCCCGCAAACAAATTAATTGGCCATATTTATAATCAATAAACGTAATCTCAAACTTCTACCAAACTCAATTACATGTCCGCTGCACCAATTACTCTCCACACAGAGCTGAAAGTACAGCTGTTGACTCCCTGACGGGACATAAAATGACACACTTGTTAAAAATTCAGTTCAATTCAGTTTATTTATATAGCACCAATTCACAAAAGATGTCATCATCTCAAGGAACTTAACAGTTTACCAAATCATAAGTATAGTCAAATTGATGAAAAAATAAGTTTTTAGAGACTCTGCTTAGAAATAATTACTGAACTTTGCTCACATTGAAGAAATTTAACTCTATATTTAACCCATCCCCTTGGAGAGCAGTGGGCTGCCTTTGTTGGGCGCCCGCAGAAAAATCGGGGGTTAAGGGTCTTGCTCAGAGAGGCAGAGTGGCAGTCTGTGGGAGTGGGTTTCAAACTCTTAACCTCAGCATTCCAAGCTCTATGCCCTGACCACTTGTCATGATGTGTTTTGAGGTCTGACCCAAAATATAGAGAACCACTCAGAGAGCAAGGCAAAAGGTTAAACAGGTTTATTGAGGTAAGGGTAGAGGGGGTTGGATCTGGAACTCAGATGGCTGGTGAACAGGAACTAGAAAGTCTGGAGATGATATCACAAAGATTAGTTCAGGGACCGTGGGAATCTTGGATGCCGCAAGGTTAATGCTAGTGAGGGACTCACGTCTGGGGGGGTTCTTCCAATCCTTCCAGGGGAAGAAGGCCAAACATCCAGCTTGCAGGATGGCTTCCTGCCAAAAGGCAAAGACAAAAACAAAGTTAGGCTCAGTAAAACAAAGACTCATGTTAGACTCAGCTAATCTCAGCATGGCTAGAGTACCCAAAACTGGCAAACACTCTGGCGCCAAGGTAGTGACAGTCCACTGCTTAAATACTCCTCCAGATAATGGTCTAATGAGCTGCAGGTGTGCAGGGAGGCCAAAAGAGGATTGGGCACCACCTGCTGGAGGAGAAAAGGAAACAGAAAAACAACCACACAAACTGGATTCCTAACACCACTAGGCCGTCACTCCGCCACATGAAATATCACTTTTATTGGTAAATGTATTGCGGTATGCCAGCCAAAAGACTTAAAATCCTAAATAAAAACGACCATCATCAAAATTACAAAAGATAAAGGCCGACTTAAAATGTTTTATTTTTGTGTGTGTAACAAATCTACATATAATTCAAACTTTTTTAGATGCATCTGTGTAATCAATAATCCTTCTGCTCTGATTGATACAAGTTAACGAAAGACTTTAAATCAACTGTTTACCAATTTGGAAAACATAAATAATGAAGTTAAATACTTTAGCTTGAATCAGTCAGGGATAATTATTTTAATATTCATTTTATAGGGCTTTTAACTGGTTATCTTTAGTTGCTATTAGTCAATGTTTTGCTTTTATATATATGTCTAAATAAAAAGCAGAAACGCATTCAAAGAATGGGTGGTGGTTCATGTAGATGCTTAAAAAAAAAAAAAAAAACTAAATTCACACTTGTTTGCCCTGTCAGGGTTAAACATTTTTACCATCACAACATTTCACATTGACTCATTATACTAACAGCATGTTCATACTTGTTTAACTTAAAACTCACAAAAGGTAAATAGGATTATTTTAGGTCATGCATGATAAGTGTGGATTTAATGTAACGAGCTGGGATTGGCCTGGTATTAGTACTATTTAAAAGTAGCCACCCAGTAAAACACTAAAGCCGAGGGTTGTTTTCATAGTAGTTTGTAAAATAAAAAAGCTCAAAAATAAAAAGATTATCTGTCAAAAACAGGAGTACGTCCAACACTGCAAAGTACACTCTGGTAAAGACGTGCCATGGTCAGACAAGATTGAGTTTGTGAGCGGCTGGTATATCCTGATCATTGTCAGCGACACACTAACCATCATAGGCTCCATTCTCAAGATGGAGATCCAAACTAAGGTAATGAGGACCTTCCTACTAACGTGTTCTTCATAAGCTGATTTATATCGAGGTAAAAAAAAAAGTATTTGTTCTCCTTTTGAACAGGTCCTTACAAGCTATGATGTGTGCAGCATCTTCCTCGGCACAGGCACCATGTTTGTTTGGATCGGTGTGATTCGCTACATGGGCTACTTCAAGAAATATAATGTAAGTGGAGCAGGTGAAAGTTTGTTCAACATATCTAAGAATTACCCTCTTGGTAAACACACTAATTTCATTTTTAAGTAATCATAAGCATGAAACATTTTAAAGCTGATGTGGTAATTCTAGTTCGGGGTATGAGAAATATAAACAGAGCTTTTACATCTATTCTGTATTTCTTTTATCTGCCATTAATTGAGGAATATTTTTTAATGGAAGAGGATAAATCAGAATGCTATTAAACAAATAAGTTCAGATTTAAATGAGTTTACCTTGATAAACAGAAACTTCCCACACCATAAAAGCAGGTTTGGACTATGTAAAACTCAATCAGATAAGAGAATCCAAAATTTTTTTTTTCCTTCTGAATATAAGAATGTATTTGGCTAGGTGTGCTGGGGCAAATATAAAAACAAAAAACACAAAACAAGCAATAAAGTAATTTTAAATCTTAACCTTCCTCATTTAGATTCTCATCGTGACACTCCGGGCAGCTTTACCAAATGTTATACGTTTCATCTGCTGCGCTGGGATAATATACATAAGCTACTGCTTTTGTGGCTGGATTGTTATCGGTCCATATCATGAAAAGGTAACAACACTCCCCCATATATTGAAATTACTTAAAACCGAAATGTTACATATTCACACTTTCCTGATCATTTGCAACTTTTCTTTAGTTCCGGACCTTGAACACTGTGTCGGAGTGTCTGTTCTCATTGATCAACGGAGACGACATGTTTCCGACCTTTAAAGACATGAAGCACAAAAGCAGCCTGGTGTGGATTTTCAGCAGGGTCTACCTCTATACCTTTGTATCCCTCTTCATCTACATGATCCTAAGTCTTTTCATCACAATAATCACAGACACATACGACACAGTCAAGGTAAGGGCAGCTAGAGGTGAATTATAAGCAAATCAATCACTTTATGTGAAAGTTTTTTGCATTTAATGTCTAATTTAATCCTGGTTTAGTATCTAAATCATCTTGATATGTCCCCTTTTAAAAACTGCCTCATTTAGCAGCAACAGGAGAATGGAGTACCGATTTCAGACCTGCAGAAATTTCTCTCGGTGTGTAAAGATCTACCAAATTCTGGAGTTTACAGACTTGAAAAAAGCAAGGGCTGCTTATTTAGCTGCTGCATCAACAGGTAAGATCACACATCTGCAGTCATGCATTTCTTTTTCTTTGGTTTTAAACAGAATGAAAGGAACTCTTTATTGGTGGTTGTTACAAGAACAGAATCTGCACGATTTACTACTTATGCATGTGTCCTACAGTCATGTTGAATTTCCCAGATTTACCTAGACTCAAATTTCTATTGCTCTAAGACTTCTTAACCTATTATTGAATCAGTTTGATTGGTGATGTAATTATGGTAGATATTTGACTCAGGGAAGATTTGAAATATGAATAATGGAAAAACTAAAGCAAAGGAATAAAATGGGAAAAAAATATAATGACAATAAATAAGAGAATGATAAAGAAACAAATGTAAAATGGTAGAAGGAAAAGAACAACTAAAGGATAAAGAAGGAACAGACAAAACTTAGATAAGGAAGAAGCAATTAAAAAAATAAGTTAAAAAAATGTATTGAACAATACTTACAAAATGGAACTTAGAATAAATTCTGGATATTTAAAATAAAAATTTCTTTTCACATAATTAACCAGAGCTAGGAAATACTTTCTTTACAAAAATTTTTTGTAAAGAAAGTTTTTTGCAGTAAATTAGCTGTCCTAAGGCCTAAAGTAAAGGTTAAACATAATTAGGCCTTTAGGGACTCTAAAATAATCTTTAATTGGCTCTGAAACTATGATTAACACTTAATTTGTTAATCATAGTAGAAAAACAGCTTTGACAAAAAAGATTACATCATCACACCTCGAGGACAATGGGTTTAATAATATTTCCAAAAGATATTGGAAGAAAATATTAAGGAGGTTAAAACCTGCCTGGGCGTGAAGAAAGCTCAAGATTTTTATTTTTATTTTGTTTGGCCAATTAAGCCAAACAAATAAGCACACTTCAAATAAAAAAAACAATG